GTCTAGAGCAATTTAGTAGGGCTCCAAAATCATTATTCGGTACACAAAAGAGGCTCAGGTTATTTTGTTTACTGAATGAATGAGATTTCAGAATGATCTTCTAATCCAATAGGAAGGCTAAAAATTAATACTTTCTTACGCCTTTACATGCCATGTAACAATTTTGACTTCTGTAAAGTTTCTGAGTCAATCCCTTTAACAGAAACAATTCAATTTTATTTTATCCTCCTTAAGGGCCAAAAAGGTTTTTTATTGTTCTACATGAAAAACTCCCATTGCTTTCCAATCCATCTAAAATGGCCTGTTGTTCAGGGGAGCAGTGGACAAAAAAGAGCTGCCTCAGTAAGGAAAATTAGTGGAATGTCCTTATAGACAGCAAATTTTGTAGGAAAGTTTTGCTATAAAAATAATTGGCTGACGGAGCAGAAATATCCTGGAGAAAATAAATGTGCAAAAAATAGAATCAGGTTGATTAAATTATCTTATAACTGCTTCAAGACTCCCAGAAGGGGTTTTGAGTTGGCTAAAGGGTTTTTTTGTTGGTTCTGGTTTTTGGTTGGGTGGGTTTTTTTGTTGGTTTTTCGGGGGGGGAGGGGCTGTTTGTTTTGTTTTGTTGGTTTTGGGGGAATTTTTTTGTTTTTTATTTTATTTTATTTTTTTAAAGTTTTCTGATTTGACAAAAATGAAAAAAAATCAAACTCAGCTCAACTCCCCACCTTGTAAGACTTGCACCCTTGACAGAGTCTATCACGCCAGGTTTCATCTTGATAGGATTTATTTCTAATTTCTTAAACTGATGGGAGGTTGGTATTATAGACCATCGTCATGGAATGTTAATGGCATGTTCCAACCACTTTAAAAAAGAAAGACAAAGCAAGGCTGCATTCTCTGCCTCTCCTTTTTATGTCATTTACATATAGTTTTTTACTCAATACATTTGAACCAATGTCAAGCTATTGGCTATAAAAGTGGGAACAAATGAAGAGAAAATAGGTTTATTTGTTGATGATGTATTGTTAATAGTTTGACCACAAGTATCTCTCCCTAAAATAACTAGAGCAGCTTTGAAAATGCATAGCCCTGAAAATGGCATTTTTCTGGAAAAAAAAATGCTGGATACTACTTTAACAAAAAGAAAGAGACAATAAGCCTAACAGGCATACTATTTCAAGTGGGTTAAATCTACAGTTAAGTAACCAGGACATGCACTCACTTTTCTGTTTAGAATAGATGTATAAGGAAAATTTGCCACCCTCTTTCTTTTAAATCAAGTTCTGTTTGGTTTAAGGATTGGGGAAGATCCATATTTGCTAGTTGAGCCAAATTTAGTTCCTAAAAATATGCTCTGAAGACTCTGCTATTTTAGACATTACTCACACTTATTTTGGCTAAAACTGTAATGATCTCCTTCATATGAAATTAACATCACCCAAGAATTAATGAAAGTATTCTTAATAAGCCAAGAGAGAAAATTGAACTTGGTCTACGGGGTTACTACTGGACAATGCAGCTAAGACGACCTTAAAAATATGGGGTAAACTGAAATAGACCTATCTTTCCTGTTAGATTTTTATTATGTATTGTTTCTCTTGTATGCAGGTTGTTAAAGGCCTTACCTATTTATGGAGCTTAAAGATTTTACACAGAGGTGAGTGACAGGTTTGTTCTTTCATTTTCAAAGTGAATACTATACTTTCTTGGTCAGCACAGCTTTTTACAAAGTGAGTGGGCCACACTAAGCCCTGATGTGTTGCTGCTGACATCAGTGGACTTATGCCAGGGATTAATTTTACTCACTAGCCTTTCACATTCTCTGGTTATGGATTTTTATTACTTGCTTCTTCTTTCTGTTTCTCTTCAACTCAAACAAAAAAAAATAGACCCAGATTTTCAGAAGTGTTTAGGTGCCTAAAGATGCAGAGAGATACCTAGTGGGATTTTCAAAAGTGTCTAAGTAAGTCAGGTGCTTAACTCCTATTGAATTCAATAGGATTTAGATGCCTCATCTAGTTTACCACTTTTGAAAATCGGACTAGGTATTCCCCTCCATCTCTAGGCACATAAATATTTGACTCATTACCCCAACACTACTATTTTGAAAGACAAGGTAATATAACTTTAAATCTACTTAAGCAAAGTTGAAACCATTCTCAGTATAAAGCCTTTTCCTCATTCACATTCTTTTTTTTTATTTTTTTATTTTCACCTTCTTGCCACTTTTAGATTTTCTTAGTAATATAAATTCATTCATATGTACCAGGTCATTCAAATGCAAAGCATAAACTGGCAGACTATGGCAGATGCTGAGCATACACCTGCTGGAGAACAAGAAAAGGGTTAAGTAACAAGTACTTTGGCAAACGAGAAGAAAACTCTTTGTGTTTATAATGGTACCAAAGTGTCTGAAAGTAACAGCTACAGATCTAATGTTGCTCACAATGCTGCTTAATTTAACCCATCTGCTCACTCAGTCCTGGTGCACAGTTGGAGGGTACAGTAGCAGACATTATTTGGGATTAAAGGGAGGATAAAAGAAAGTATCAACTAGGGGAGAAATGAGTAATCTAAATTCAGAGTTTCTCCTTTAAACAGGAACTTTGAAATCAGATTGTAAACTCTTTTAGGCAGGGCCATCTCTTTGTTGAGATGTTTGTATATGCTTAGCACAGTTGGATGCAATAGCAATAATAAAAATTGAGCTCTTGTTAATGTTTATCAGATTCGCAATCCTAATTTCTCAATGAATGTTTTTTGTGCCCTCCCTGCCAAAGGGTGCTGCTTTATCAGAGACATTCATGTGGAAGCGAGAGGATGTTAATAGTACGCTGTTTGGAGAAGAGTGGAATGTGTATTTTAGTAGCTACAGTGGAAAAGTATCTTTGAATACTAAGAGATTAGTCAGGATTTTCAAAGGCGCCTACGGCTGCTGGGTTTTTTATTCGTTTCTTGTCCTCTTCCTGGAGGAAATGAAGCTTTTTTTTAATTGTGTTTACATTTGAATCAGTTTACTGGGGATGACTTTTTTCCTCTGGATAATTTATTTAGAAATTTTACCCTTCATTCGGAGTTTCGTCAGAAGCATGGAATTAACAGGATGTCCTCTTGCAAGAGCAAAAGGGGAATGTAAAAGGTGCAAAAACTGAAAACTCTGTGTCATGTACCCAGCATACAAAACAATGCCAGTTCACTGACAGTAGAACTGTTCCCATAATGGCCAATTTATGAAGTCGATGTGAGAAGCCATTGCTTAGCCGCTTCCCCGATGAACTAGAGCAAAAGATTGTTTTAAAGACTAATTTTAAAATGAGTTGTGTGCCTAATGAATTGTTAGGTGGCCTTTCAGATAACCAATAACATTGATAGTCAAGCACAAACACTGTCAGTATAATATTTGTATGCCTTTCTTCTGCTTTGAGCTTAGAAGCTGAATCAATTTTTTTTCCCTGCCCAGTTAACTGTGACTTCAACATAATGTTCCAGAACTTTCATTGGACTGATTAAAAGGTGTACAGAGTATTGATTAAACGTGGCCAGTTTACTTAGAATGGAAAGTGCCTTCGTGCTTCCAGAAAACATCCAGGGTACGTCTACACTACAGCGCTAGTTCGAACTAACTTAGTTCGAATTAGTTAATTCGAACTAAGCTAGTTCGAACTAACGCATCTAGAACTAAAAACTAGTTCGAACTAGCGTTTTGCTAGTTCGAACTAGTAAGTCCACATTGAGTGGACTCTGAACAGGGCTTAATGATGGCCGGAAGCAGTGCCGGCAGGGCATAAAAGGAGGACTTAGAGCATGGAGATACTGTCTCAGGCTAGCCGAGGGCTGCGCTTAAAGGGTCCCGACCTCCACCCCGGACACACAGTTCTAAGGGGTGCCCCGCTTGCAAAGAAGTTCTGGCTTGGAGTGCCCTGAGTGCCCACACTGGGCACATCACACCACTCGGCCATCAGCCCGGCTGCACTTGCCGCAGGCTGCCATCTGGGGAGAGGGAGTAATTGGGGGGCTGCAGGAGAGCTTCCACCCCCAGAAGCCCGCAGAGCCAGCCCAGTCCTCCCCATCGGGGGCTCGTCCCCCATTCCTCCCTCACCTCCTTCCACTTGCCCTTCCCTAGCCCCCCTTCTTATTGATGTACAAAATAAAGATAACGTTTCTTCCAACATTGACTCTGTCTTTATTGAAAAAAACTGGGGGAGACTGGGAAAAGGAGGTGGGAGAGGGGAAGAGAAAGGCTGGGAGAGGGGAGGGCAACTAACATGATCAGGGGTTGGGAACAGGTCCCAGATGAAGAGAGGCTACAGAGACTGGGACTGTTCAGCTTAGAAAAGAGGAGACGGAGGGGGGACAGGATAGAGGTCTCTAAAAGCAGGGGTTGGGTGGAGAGGGTGCATTCAGAAAAGTTCTTCATGAGTTCCCATAAAGAAGGACTAGAGGACACCAAAGGAAAGGAATGGGTAGCAGGCTTGAAACTAGTAAGAGAAAGTTGTTGTTCTTGACAAAGCAAATAGTTAACCTGTGGAACTCCTTGCTGCAGGAGGCTGTGAAGGCTACAACTAGAACAGAGTTTAAAGGGAAGTGAGATCAAGTGATGGAGGTTGGGTCCATGGAGTCCTATTAGCCAGAGGGTAGGAGTGGTGTCCCTGCCCAAAGTTTGTGGAAGTCTGGAGAGGGATGGCACGAGACAAATGGCTTGGTCACTGTCTTCGGTCCATCCCCTCCAGGGTCCCTAGGGTTGGCCGCTGTCGGCAGACAGGCTACTGGGCTAGATGGACCTTTGGTCTGACCCAGTACGGCCATTGTAAGCTCAGGGCTCAGTGTCGGGGGTCTCAGTGGACCCCCTTGATTTTCATGCACACCTGCTCCTGGGTGGCCAGGCTGGCAGCTCTCCTGCCCTAGACGGCCACTTTCCTGTGCCTAGTGCGGAGATCGTGGACGAGGTCCACGATGTCCGCACTAGCCCAGGAAGGTGCCCGCCTCTTGCGGTCCAGGGCAAGCTCCCGGGAGCCGCCAGCCTGGTCCCGGCAAGAGGGGGTGGGCTGGGGGGGCATCGGGTGGGTGGCTCTGTGCCGTGCCAGGTGCAGGGTCTGCTAGCTGGGTGCTGGCAGGCTTGCACCTGGCACGGGCACCGTAGCCAGCCCGTGCCCCTTTAAGGGGTCCGGGGCCGGGAGGGGGGCATAGAGTTTCCCTGGTGTTGGCCAGAGTGGCCACCAGGGAAACCTGGGGAGGGCTAGCCTCCCACTAGTTCGAACTAAAGGGCTACACAGCCCTTAGTTCGAACTAGCTAGTTCGAACTAGGCGTTAGTCCTCGTAAAATGAGGTTTACCTAGTTCGAACTAAGCGCTCCGCTAGTTCGATTCAAATTCGAACTAGCGGAGCGCTAGTGTAGCGCATAGGAAAGTTAGTTCGAACTAACGTCCGTTAGTTCGAACTAACTTTCTAGTGTAGACATACCCCCACAGAGAAACATACAGACTCATCCTTTTTCTCAGTTTAGAATTTGCTGGGCTTGATCTATTCCTAGTTTGCTCCAAATAAAATCCAAGCTATAAAAAACCATGTGGGAGGCTGAGGCCTAGTCTACAGTACACCTCCCTACACAGCTAATCTACAAATAGCATAGCTGAAGTCGACACATTTACCGCGATGTCTGCCACATTGTAAGGTCAGTGGGGGTTACTCTTCTCATACCGGTGGAGTACCAGAGTCGACAGGAGAGCACTCGGAGTTCAATTTATCACATCTGTACAGACACGATAAATTGATTGCCGGTGGATCGATCGCTGCAGTGTCAATCCGCCATGTAGTGAAGACAAATCCTAAGTAACATCCTACGGTCCGCAGTGTTCCCTCAAGACACTTTAAACACGTACGTGCATGCGGGCATGCATGCTCTAGATCTTTGTAAATGGATACAGAGTAGTGAAGTACAAATCAGAATACATATTTATTTCTTACTAGTCATGAGCTATGTGTAGGATTTAATGCATTAGGTAAATGGAAGAAAAATTAACCTTGACTTCTTCGCCATCATGTGTAAAATGTGCCACATAGAAGACTCTTATGGACTAAAGAGTCAAAAAATTCCACGGTAGAATCAAGGTGGAGAAGTGGTCTTCATGGGGAAAAAAATGCATAATACAGTATAGCAAACATGCCGTTTCTGACTAGCGGATGGATAAAAGGAAAGGAAACAAATAATGAGCAAGTCTTTTATTCCAGATCAGACATTTCAGTAACTACTGCAGCTTAGCTTCAAAACATACCTTGTGATTAATGAGGTGGTAGTCATGCATATTAATGAATCTAACACGGTAGTCATAGTCGTCATTACCCACATCAAACGTAAACAAAAGATTAACACCTATACCACATCTTTGGAAGATGTGAGACTGGCCCAATGATAACTGCTCTCTCTTCCCCTCAGGATAAAGAATAGAAAGGGAAGGGTAATGAGAAATGAATGTAGATTTAACACAACATTAGCAATCAAACTGTTCTAATATTGCACAAAGTCAAAGTTGGCAGAAATAGGAAACCAAGTCCATTCAGTTCAAGACTAACGTACAGAGAGTATACATTATATCCAAATGGCATATCTTATTTTCTCTGGAGCATGCTCATTAAGGAGAAGTATACATAATAAAAATA